CGATGCCTTACACTATAGACTGCAGAGGGAACCACGTGCTTCTCTGCTGCAAAACTGAGTGAACGTTTGCTGTATTCCACACTGATTCCTAACTAACATTGTTCTTTCCAATCTCATTACCTATCTGAATTTTCAGTATAGCCATACATTATGACGTATCAGATGGCACTGCCTTTTCTTGCTTTGTAACTGCAGATGCTATGTAGCATAGCCGGGGATACATCAAGGCAGCCTGTAAGTCTTCATGTGCAGCGTAGAGGAAATACAGCGCCATGATGAAAAAATAGGAACAAACTCTGCAACTTATTTACCATTCTCAATTAAAATCGAGTTACTTCTGGAATTGAAATGCTTTTCTCACTCACCTTACTGATGCCGAGAGGAAGGAATGCAGTAGATGTGCTGCTCTGTCACACAACTAATCAATCTACTCAAGCACACAGCTCTTCCTGGCAGCTGCACCGGCACTGGTAAAACTGCTGACCAGAAAAAAAATATACATCTTGTAATAAATACAGTCTATCAAATACGCATTCATCTGTCAGATTCTACTACAGAGAATGAATTTTGAACATGAACTACTTTCAAGAAAGCAGGTTTTGATATTCATACATACTTGCTTTCCAGAGGGAGGGGAGATATAGAGAGGAAATATAATTCATTTTGTAGGCTACTGAGGAAAGTTACTGTGCTCTCGTGCTAGTAACTAATACTAGTCATTAGTTCTGTAATTTTATATTCTGACTAATACTGTAGACATCTTGCTTGCCATTAGCCTGTCTCTGAAGCATTTCCTTCCTTTGTAAATGACTAAAGGGTTGTTCTTGATAATATACATTTGACAGCACAATATTACACAAGTAAGATTTTGTGCCTCTGTGTCTTTTACTCAGTCATTTTTTTCAGACTTAGATATCATAGGGAAATTTTTAAGATCCTGAAAGCTTTCTTCAAATATAATTAATCAGAAAGACATTTTGCTGACTGAAAGTTTAAGGTTCTTCTTTTAAAGGTTATTGAATCATCAGAGAAAGTTACAAAATTCTTGTTACAAGATGTAGGCTTACAAGTAATGAAAATCCACTCAAATGTCACTTGAGCCCTCATTGCATTTGTGCTTCTGTGCATGTCCTTCACTTACTCTGAGGAATCTTGGGCTATGGTATAACCAGGTTTTGAACACTTTTCCCATGCACACTCCATTCTCAGAGACAGGCAGAGCTCAGACAGCACAGCACATCTAGAATGTCCCATCCTAAAAGACAGATTATAGGATTTTTAACGTAAAAATCTGTAAGCTGGAGTTTACTTAGTAAAAAATCAGAAGATAATATTCATAGATTTCTTTCAAATTGATGTTCTTATTCATTCAATAATGTCACTCTACTAATCTTGCTAGCAGAAGTGTGAGGGCTGGTATATAGAAACATAACATATAAGAAAGCCATCATAAAACCAGACATTTAAATTCTATTTGGTTTCTCTATTTAGCAGCTACATGGTTGTCTTGATTTAAGCTGGGACAGAGTTTATTTTCTTCACTGTCTGGCATGATGATATGTTTTGGCTTTAGGAGAGAAGCAGTGCTGATAACACATCAATGATTTAGCTGTGCTGAGCAGTGCTGCACAGAGCCAAGAACATTTCAGTTTCTCAGCTTCTTGTACTATCCTGCTAGAGATGGGGCTAGGGAACACAAGGAGCTGGGAGGGGACGGAATACAAACATATATTACTATTGTTACTGCTACTTCTCTCTTCCTTTTCTGTTTTATTCAATAGCTTTTTATCTCAATCCCCAAGTTCTACCCTTTTTTTCCCCCATATTTTCTCTCCTATCCAGTGAAACAAAGGAGAGTGAACATGAAGTGATATGTAGATTAACTGCCTGCTGAGTTAAACCACAAAAAACAGTTATTTGCCATGTTAATTAGTATATTAAAATATAATTCATATTCAGAACTGTTGGCAAATCTTATCTCCGCAAGTATTACCACAATACCAAATCTATATTACTGCAATTTAATACTATGCCTTATTGTTAACCAATAATAATATAAAGTAACAAAACACTGCCAATTTATTTTACCTCTCATCAATAAGCAAGCTCAGGGAAACATTCTGGCACATTAGTACAGCTAGCAATGTATCAACATTGCAGTTCCCTTCCATAAAGGAATGATTTTAAGTCCAGATCTTCCATGCTCTATAGGAAGGTTTCAGTTCATACCCATGAGGCAAAATGCCTTACATCTTCTTCAAGAAGATATTATCATTTCTGAGAATATATAACTAAACTTCCTAAAACTTACACATTTTTGAATGTATATTTGTATGTATCACGGGTTATCCTTAGGTGTAAGTCCGTGACAGGGGGGCACAGGCCCCGGGAAAAAGAGAGGCAAAAAAAAGGTACGAACGGTTTGCCTCGACCCGGCCGGCCCCGGGCCACGTGCGCTCCGGGAGAGGGGGAAGGGCAGAGAGCTAGCCGGTAGTTTTAACAAAAAGAAAACACAACGGCAACGATCTGAGGAGGAAGGGTAATTTACTGAATCTAACTAAACAAAACGAGAGAGACAGGAGTATCAAAAAATGAGAGTCAAACCACGACAGTGAGAGGGAAAGCACATCTGAGTCGGGGCAGACGGGGAGAGGCGGCCGCTCCGGGTCGTGTCCGCAGCTCCGCCCCGCTGCCTCTGCCCGCCAGCTCCTCCGGGGATGCCGCCCCCTCCCGT